ATAAAACAAATTGGAATGGAAAAGAATAATAATGTTATAAAGGTGTTTATACCAACTGTTGTGACAGTTGAATATGGTTGGGATCTCTTTATGAAATGTATAATAGGTGTTGTAATAATTACAATTATTGGCGCCAAATTAATCCAAACAATTAAGTACTCGACCCAACCACCTCATAACCACGCTCATATCTCAATTATAATTGCTAATAAAATAAGTGAAATTAATCATGAGGAATGCATATAGGTCACCAACTTTAAATGATATTTATTATGAAAAAAATAAATTAATAATATTGAAGATAACACACGCTATTGCTTTGTTAATCGAAACTATTAATGCTTTAATTAGTGATCATAAGCAGCTAAACAACCACCATCTTTCATCAACGTGGTCTTTAATTGATGCTTGACTTTGGCCAAACTCTATAACTTCAACTCATTTATTGTTCATAAACATCTTCACAAATAATAAATTATGTCTTGTTAGATCGATCATACGAGTCTCTTTCATCGTATATATATCTCTCCCTCTCTCTCTCTCTCTCTTGTTAGTTATCTGTTTCATGTATTTTTCTTAAAAAAAGCAAAGGACATTTTATTTTATTTTATTTTATGGGTTATTGAATATATTCTCAAAGAAAATAAATAATGTTGATTCGACAAAGTAGACTTCCATAATAAAAATATATAAACAAAGAAAGACAAATTACACTGCATACCCTATTTATTTGTATAATTATTTAGTTGAATTTTTAGTAAAAAGGAAATCAGAACATATTTATACCTACTAATTAGTAATTATTTCCTACCCTACAAACTTAAAAGGTACTTCGGCGCCTAGTTGAGGTTAAATTGCATTATTTGCGACTCACATGTTTAGCTACGCTTAAAGATGTCAAATTAGGTGTAAATATTTTGATATTTTAAAATTTCTTATTTTCAAGATAAAAAAAAGTTAATTATTTAGATGGTGAAAAAAGTTAGTAATTTACTTATTTCTAACTTTGATAAAAATTAATTACTTATTTTTTAACTTATTTAATTAAATGAGTAAAATTATAAGGAAATTTCGTAAGCTTACTCCAAACAAGAAAAAAATTGTGATACAAAAAGCCAACACATTGCAATTGCCCAATGGATTGAGAAACATCAAAATTTATTGAAAATAAACTTATAATTTGTGTTAGGTTTCTCATCGAAGTACCTAACAATTTGTATTATCTCAAACTAGACGAAACTCATTGAAACCAGGTATTATTTTGGCAAATTTTATAAAAACATTACACATTACCTAAAAAGGTGGTCAAAGCTCAAACTACAGATGTTTACAACTCTCTCTCTCTCTCTCACACACACACACACAAACACACAAACACAAATACACACACATATGTCCAGGCTGGAAGGATCCAAACCAAAAACCCTACCACCATTATTAACAATTAATAATCGGGCCTCTACCAAAATGATGATAATTCTGGGTAAATTGCACATTGGTCCCGAATCTACTGCCTGAATAACAAGTTAGTCTTTAATCTTGAAAATTGAGCAGACGGATCCTCAATATTTTATTATAGTTGGTCAGTTTAATCCCTTAAATAACAGAATCGACAAATTTACATTAAACTGTCATTTTAAATTTCTCTTCATCAACTTAAGTTGTGTAACCAAAAATCATGTTTTATAAAATTAGACTTGATACCGACTATGAAGCAAAAAAAATTTCTTTCGCGGTGCAAAATGAGATCACAATTTAAGTATGTATTTTGAGTCTTTTTAAATTATCAAGTTTTTCATATTTTTTCATCAATGGAGATCAAGCTTTCTTCTACTATAATATTATAAATAAATAATTGACCTTGGTTTATATAAAAAAATTACATATGTAAGATCCATACCATTATTTATTGAAATTTTGATGGTTTTTTTAGTATTGGGGGTTATTTCTTCGTTCCAATATTGAGAACGAATGCCATACTCGGACAATTTATTGGAGACCATAATGTAAATTTCTTTATTTTCCCGCAAACTATCTGGAAAACAAAATATATGAACAGAGAAAAACCACAGTGGAGAGGGAAGAAAAAAGAAAAGGAAAAGCTTGAAAAAGAGGTTTGATATCTTTCGTTTTTATTCTTCACTTCTCTTTTCTTGCAGTCTATGGTACGCATCTTTTCCAACTTTTATGCTCTTTTCTCAGTTTCCATCTTTACCTTCTTCTTAATATACATCTATTTCTTTTGCTCAAGGTTCTCTTGATTTGAGTGATTGTGATTCCAAAGCTTCAATTTCTTCACATTTCTTCAGCTGAAATCAATTACTCATTCCTTTGATTCTTCGTGAAATTTTTTCTCTAAAATCTTTCCAGCATTGATCATTGCTACTGAAAGTTTATTTCCTTTTCTATCTTGGTATTTCGAAAATCTTCGTTTCTTTTCATTCCTGAGCTTTTCTTTTTCTTCCGTGGATTTGCCTTGAAATTAACTTACATTGGAAATTTGCGGTTTTCCCTTATGGGTTTTGCTGATCAAGCTTAAAAACCTAATCTTTGTTGGTTTTTCATGCCAAGATTTGAGCTTTTCTAGTATTTTTGGCAATATTTTCTGGATTTTCGACTTTCTTGAATTCCCATTTCCCTGGAAGGCTTTCCTCTTGAAATGGTTTGGTTTCCTCTGTAGTTCAGTAGTTCTTACTTTTCCGTTTTTCGATTTTACTTCTTTTCTTGAATTTTCTGACAATTGGGTTCTTAATCCATGGGACTTTGTCATGGAAAACCTATTGAGCCCCCACAAAACCTATCTAAAATTCCAATAATCCCATGTGAAAACCATGAATCTGCATTCAATTCTTCAACTGGGAAAACCCCAAAATTTCCATTTTACAGCCCAAGTCCACTGCCTAGTGCATTCAAGAGCTCCCCTGCGAACTCTAGCAGTGTTACCTCAACTCCTTTGCGCTTCCTTAAGCACCCATTTCCACCACCATCTCCAGTTAAGCATATTAAGGCTTTGCTTGCAAGGAGGCATGGCTCTGTGAAGCCTAATGAGGCCACTATACCGGAAGGGAGTGAGTGTGAGATCATTGGACTGGACAAGAATTTCTGTTTCTCGAAGAATTTCTCAGCCCTCTATGATATAGGAGAAGAGGTTGGGAGGGGTCACTTTGGGTACACTTGTTCTGCTAAGGGAAAGAAGGGGAGCTTGAAGGGCCAGGATGTGGCTGTTAAAGTTATACCGAAGTCAAAGGTCTGGTGCTTAATGGCTCAAAGTATATCTCTTTGCAACTGTTTTTGCTTCACTGGTTAATGATAATATATCTAATGCACTTTGGTGATAAATATATATTGTGTTTCAATTGCAACTGTCATTTTCATATTCATTTGAATAATATTTGTTTTAGATTCAACATGTTGATGTGTTTTTCTTGATTGGTTCTTATCTATTTTTTGGTATACTTTGGTTGTTTGCTTGGTGATGATTATTTGTGACCATGTTAAGTTCCCAGATTGTGTGATAGGCAAAGTCTAATATATCTCTCATATTGTTTTATAATTCTGTCCTCGATCCATTTACACTCTTACTTATTTTTTGTGCGTGTATTTTATGTTTTCTTTGTGATATGAGGTACAATTATCTTAATAGAATATCATACATTCTGTAGAAGTAGTTTAAATGTTGGTTGCATCTTGCCTGAGGTGGATCAAAACTACCACGATCTTGGTTATGAAAAACTAAAATGATGAAAATTGAAGCTGGAATCTCAATTTATGCAGATGACTACAGTGATTGCAATAGAGGATGTACGAAGGGAAGTAAAGATTTTACGTGCTCTCACGGGACATAAAAACTTGGTGCAATTCTATGATGCCTACGAGGATGAAGACAATGTCTACATAGTGATGGAGTAAGTTTGAACTGTTTCACTCTCAACTTTTTCATTGTATTTTGCTGTAATTTCTTGTTTATTCATTTAGTTAAATTTTTTTTTTTATCATTTCTTCTGCTGACCCTATATCAGACTAGTATAATACGAGGAGTCAAGGACAAAGTTTAACTTTTTTTATTTTGTATTTTCAAATATTTACATACCATCCTATTTAGGCCCATGCTGTACTAATTTTTATACTTGCTATAGATAGTTGGCGGTTCTTCTAAAAGGTCTTACATTGAACATGTATTTCCTAGCCTTAAATTGAATATGTATTTCCTAGCAGTTAATTCAATTTTTGAAAGTTTGATGCTTACATCTACAACTATTTGTTTTTCATTTTCGTTTTTCATTTTCCAGGTTATGTAAAGGAGGAGAATTATTAGATATGATACTTTCTAGGTATGTATAATGTTCTTTCATTTAAATATTTAGCAATATTTTTCTTGCTTCAGATCCTTCTAAGAATCCATCTCTGTTTCCTGAAGGGGTGGCAAATACTCTGAAGAAGATGCCAAAGTTGTCATGGTACAGATTCTAAGTGTGGTTGCTTATTGTCACCTCCAAGGTGTGGTTCACCGTGATTTAAAACCTGAGGTATTCGACTACAAAGATGCTAACTTCAACTGTTTGTTTTGTTGCGCTAGCGACATGTTTAATGAATTGGATGGGTAGTAGTGTTGAAAAGCAAAAATGATCTAAAATCTTGTCCATTATATTGTGCAATCCTGTCTAACACTGTGAATGATGCCTCTGAGGCTTATGTCTTAACAACTTAGATACTTAAACAGTGTTTCTGGGCAAAGATGCTGAAAACTCTTATAAGGTGTTGAATATACTAACATAAACAAGGTGCTGAAAACTCTTAGAGGATTTTTGTAGACTTTTTGCTGCGAGGAAGTAAACCATAAATACTCTCTCAAAATTCAGCATACGTAGTCCTTTTATTAAATCTGGCACTTTTGTGGAACAACTTATTCTGTTATTATGTGATTGATGACTAATTGTATCGAAGTTGCATATATTTTGATTGATAAACCAATCAGAACTTATGTATATTAAATAAAGCACTCAGAAATTAACTCGAACTAATTTATTTTCATATTGAATTTGAAATGTAAACTCATGTTCAAGCACATACACAATTTTTGATTGAGTCTGGCTTCCATTGTTCGCAGTGAGAGAACAAGAGTTGTATGGTAAAGCCTTGTAATCAAAAATCAATTTTGAGAGTTCAATATCTATTTATGAGACTAGCTTACCTAGAATCTCCTTGCTGGAATTATCCTCTGTTTTGTAAATTTAAATAATTTAAACTAACTTATTGATTAAAGTATTGTCTTCTTGGATAGACTAAGTTGGCTAGTTTCATCTAAATTAGATGGGGCAAGTTCTTCTGGAATTTCAGTTTTTATTCTTTGCCTTCGACAATCTAATCTCGCATGCTGCATGGTATATCAACCACTTTTTGGGGTAAAAGAGCTAGTCTTGTTGGTTTTCCATCTCTTTTTGCACGAGTAAATGTGTATTTATCATGATAGTTTTCCCTTTCTCTTATTTGCTTACAATGATTGTTTTATTTCTTTTTTCTACTAAACATGATTTTGAAATTTTGCTTCAGAATTTTCTCTTCACTTCGAAGGATGAGAATTCGCCGCTCAAGGCTATTGACTTTGGACTTTCTGATTATGTGAAGCCAGGTCAAGTCTATTGCTAAATATTTTTGATGTTCTGCTCATTGCAATGGTATATTAGAGTTTAATATATGGTTATATTGGCAGATGAAAGGCTAAATGATATTGTTGGAAGTGCATACTATGTAGCTCCCGAAGTTTTGCATAGGTCTTATGGAACTGAAGCTGACATGTGGAGTATTGGTGTGATTGCTTATATTCTTCTTTGTGGAAGCAGACCCTTCTGGGCTCGGACAGAATCCGGAATATTTCGAGCTGTCCTAAAGGCTGATCCGAGCTTCGATGAAGCCCCATGGCCCTCTTTGTCTTCTGATGCTGTAGACTTTGTGAAGAGATTATTGAACAAGGATTATCGTAAAAGGCTAACAGCAGCTCAGGCACTTAGTAAGAGTTGGACAATTTAAATTAAAGCAATTTTTGTCGGCATATCTTTTTATGCTTATTGTCGTTCAATTTTCTTAAAAGATTACTGTGCCGCCTTCTTGAGTTAACCAATAAATATTTATGGGACCACATTATATATGTTAGTGGCAGTATATTCTAATGTATGTTTATATTGATTTTATTGTTTAGGTCACCCTTGGCTGGCTGGTCATCACGAGGTCAAGATACCACTGGATATGATAACATATAAGCTTGTAAAAGCTTATATATGTTCTTCCTCTCTGAAGAAAGCAGCTTTGGTGGTATGTAGATAGAGTTGATTAGTGAAAATTTTGAAAAAGAAAAAGAAAAAAGGGTTATGTAATTTGTTTAATGTTACCATATATACATCCATTGATTTTCTTTCCTTTTCGCCACTCAACTTGTTCCTCTCCTGTTCAAATGTTCATAAAATTAAAGATAATTTCGAAACCAAAATTGCTTCTTGTGAAGCTCCAGGCTATATTGCTAAAAGGCTGTGATTTCACTCTGAATAATGTCAGTATTTTTAAATTATTGCCACGCCAAATTACAATTATTTTTTATCCTTTTGTCTGGAAATAAGAGGAGTTTTCTATGCTTACCAATGCATTATGATTGAGCATTCTTATGCCTCTACAAAATGTGACTCTTGTGAATTTGTTACAGGCTCTTGCAAAAACATTGACAATACCACAGTTAGCCTATCTCAGGGAACAGTTCACATTGTTGGGGCCAAACCGAAGTGGATTTATATCCCTACTGAATTTCAAAACGGTCATCTCTCTCTCTCTCTCTCTCTCTCTCTCTCTCTCTCACTCACTCACTCACTCACTCTCAATGTATCTGCCCTCTCCCCGCCCTGTGATATTTTTCTTTTTTATGAATAAATTTAATATTATCAGCAGGCTGTGGGAAAATACTCCACGGATGCAATGGAGGATTCACGGGTTCTAGATTATGTCCATGTGGTAATGCTTTCAACAACCTTCCCTTTAACATGTTCTGTTCTAAGTTTTAGATTTGACTGGCTGGTCATTATTCAAATCTTGGTCAACGGAAACAAAGAATTATTGAATGCATTTTAACTCGCACTGTAGGTGAGTTCTCTGCAATACAGAAAATTAGATTTTGAAGAATTCTGTGCGGCAGCAATAAGTGTGCATCAGCTGGAAGGGATAGAAAGCTGGGAGCACCATGCGCGTCATGCATATGACTTTTTTGAGAAGGATGGAAACCGGCCCATTATGATAGAGGAACTTGCCTCAGTACGTCTCTCTCTCTATCTATTTCTATATTCAATGTGCATGTCTGCTTGATATGGGCACAAACAATTTACAGAAGGGTAGAATGTTGCCAAAACTGCTGTTGGTAAACTGTTCATTTGCCAGTGCATGACAAAAACCACTATAGAGTAGACGCTGATACAGTGATGATTTTCCTATGACCTTTTTCCCCCTACTTATCCCGAAATGTTTATGTTTGTGCACAAAATTGGACTTGCATGGCAATAATATTAAGCCCCTTTTTTGGTGTAGATTAAAATCAGATTTTTAGTAAATTTTGATAAAAGTTGGCGAAAATTGTGGTTGAAAAGTTGTGGTCCCATGAAATGTGTCTTAAAATTAATTGTTGACTTTGATTTATGATTTTTATCAACTTTTAATCTAAGTCAAACACGGGCTAAAAAGAAAAAAAGAAGCTACAGTCTGGTTCATATTGCTGTTAAATCATGTCCAATATTGTATACAAAACATGAAATATAGGTGTGATCTTGTGTTTGTTTTAGTGATAAAGGGAAAATAGAGTGGGTTTGCACCTTCAATGTGGCAAGAACTTGCGTAAACTATCTCTGGAAGTTCATCGTGTTGAAGGAAGACTAAGCCCATTTTGGCTAATGTTTATAGATTGATTATAATCGGTGAAACCACTTTTTATTCACTCATCTCGTGGGACCCACAAGTCTTACCTACTTATCCATTATCCATTTCTATCTATTTCTAAACTAAACTATTTATAAACACTTCCCAAACAAAGCTTTAAGTATTTAATTACCAAAATAGTATCTTGCTCGCATGCAGAATTTGCACATGGTTTTGATTATACATATTTGATATTTCATCAAGGTTTCTTTTTAAACCCATCCCTGCAAAATCATCCACACTTACCACAGGTCCTTAAAGGAAAGGTGATGTAAGTCCGAATAGGAATTGATTAATAAACATGTGACTCCCCAGAAAAGGCAGAGAATATAACGAATTTGATAACTTCAATTGAAATCTTCAGGATGTCAGTTCTTTTTCATTAACCAAAATAACTACAATTTTTGGCATTACAATGTGCTAATGAATATTGAGGAAATATAGTTCCGTGTCAGTTTCTTTTGTTGTTGATTCTGTAACAACACCTTAAAATAATAATGAACAACCAAACGCAACAATAAGATATATAGCCTCATGAGAGCTTAGTGAAATTCACCCGTTTTTATTTCATAGTAAAAAAAATCTTCCAAAAATTATTTCTCATGGCATTAGATAAGTGATGTAATACAAAAAGAAGAAGATTTCATGGAATAGTGAGGTTGGGGTCGAAAGAAATTTTCTGAAGTGTTCGATTTTGAAGAATTGTTTTTATTTTGAGTGTAAATGGCCCAAGGAGCAAAATATAGGGGCTTTGCCCTTAACGTACGGCCCATTTTGATCAAATTCCACTATTTATGGCTTGGAAAACGCATTTTTTGGGATAATTTTGTTTAGTTTAATTAAATTACAATTTTTGTTTTTTATTTTTTATTTTTTATTCCGTATAGAGTTAGTTGTTATCATTAATTCTCATCGTTATCGAAAGTTAGTTGTTATCTAGGAGTTATCATTACTTAGATTTTAATTACTGCTTTAAATATGAGTTGTAAGTCTCATGGCAATTAGTTGATTTTGATATAATAAAAACCATGAGAAGTTTTTATCCAATATAGTCTCTTTCTTGCAAATCAACAAGTTCAATTTTATTTTATTTTTTTATTTTTTATTTTGAGATTTTGTTCTTTTCTATAAGCTTCCGCTATGTAAAAATGCATGTAGCATATTCTTATTTAGTCTCCTTGTAGAAAATCTTACAGATGTTCGTTCTTCTGATTTTTTATAACAGGAGCTTGGACTTAGTCCATCTGTTCCTGTTCACGTAGTTCTTAAGGATTGGATAAGACATTCCGATGGGAAGCTCAGCTTCTTAGGATTCGTCAGACTTCTACACGGAGTTTCTTCCCGTGCATTTCAGAAGGCTTAAGAATATTCGGACTTCAAATTCATTCTCCACAGCATATTATTGGCATTGAACTGTGTGTTGAAGGGCACTGAGGTTGGCCCGACTAATCCCGATGAAGCATGATAATTAACTGCATAGATGGTTCCTGCACATTGGAGCTGTTGTCACTCGCTTTAGCATATCTTCGCTTCCATTTCTTGTTTCTCCCAGTATTTTGTGCCACTGGAATTTATAGGACTGTACAGTTGAGACTTGAGAGTAGATTACAGATGTATTTAGCACTAGAAAACAGCCCAAAGCTGAAATGAGTTGTCTTTGGTTCTGTCCCTTGTGTTCCCTGCGCACTTAGCTTCTTAATAGTTTTTAAATTGTGATTAAAAGAGTTTGTCAAGTAGAATACAGATTGTCGTGTTCTTGAAAGTAGATTCCAGTTATCCGTCTAATTTTATACTCAAATCCAATGTTAATGGCTTCAAAATTAATCCCAAATGGACTCGGAGACGGGGAATTCTCTGCAGGCAGCCAACTTTCTCAAATTTATAAAAATTGCTCAATTGTCTCGTTGGGGGTGTTCTTTACATTGTTGAAAAGCTCTAATCAACATCAGCAGCAAAAGCATTTCAAATTAGACAAGAGAGGCATTCATAACACCATTAGAATATCTGGTTTCATCATGAGAATGAACTGGATAAATATTTTTTTAGGATTCAAATTACTCAACAACTTAGAGAACATACATCTTGTCCTGGTATAAAATTTCCAACTTTGACCGCATGACTTTCGCACAACTTCGCTTCAGTGAAACTCAAATAAGTGCAAGTTACAAGCACAAGATCTTGAAATTCGCGGGAGTCGAGGGCTATAGTTCCTAAGTCAGATACAACAAGTTCTCAGACAAAAACTGGGACAGCTCCATGATCAATTACCACCATAGTATGCTGAGATATCCCATAAGCGATATTTGTTCGCGGCCAAGCTGCCTCAAACTAAAGCTGGAAATCCTTCCCTCGCGAGAAATGCCACTTGAATTTGTCTGCTACATCTTTATTGCTCATGGCTAAAAGCCTAAGGGACGGAGCATATTAATTTTCAAATTATTCATACCTTAATGAATAATGGACAAGCAATTGTAGCATATATTAGATGTTGGGAGTATATACCTGCATACACAACAATATTGAAAGTATCAAAAAATTTGCTGTCCTCTCATATCTGTATTGAGCTTGAGAAACAGAGGATGTTAATTGTTAATTATTCATACATTAATTCATAGTGAACATTATCGTATACAAGTTAAAAATTGGGAATCAAGAAGACATCTATGCCTTTAGAATCCAAGAAATTTGAAATATCTAAGGACTTTCCATCTTTTGATACATCATCAAGCGTAGGTGCACTTAGTTTTCTTGAACACATTTTGTCTTCACAGGGCAATTTTCAATTTCCAAATCCTTTAGAGAAGGGAACACAAATTCAAAGTTTTGAGAGGAAGGCTTTCTGATTCTAAAAAGATAAACAAGCATTAGCTGTCTCAATTTAGGAAACACAATTCTGCTTGTCATTCATTCTTCAACAATTTCAATCTTTAAAGATGGATCGGAACAAATCAGTTGGGGGGATATGTTAAACATGCCACTGATGTTTTATGCATAGTGGATACTATATGAGGAAATACATTATTATTTGGTAAGGAACAGTTTTAATTTCAATTTTAAATATTTTTAATTTCAGATTTTTTAATTTATTTTTTGAGTAACAAAGAATTAGACAGGAAACGCATTCTTAATACCATTAGAAAAGAAAATGACTGGTTTCATCTTGAGAATGAGCTGACCAAAACAATCATCCCTTGAGAGGTCCAAAACAAAAAACTTTAGGGTACAAATTACTCAGACAACTGACAGAACAAACATGATTAAAAAGCCAACAAGTTGCTTATACCGCACCGATTTTGCTCACCTTTGTCTTTTGGGTTTATACCTTCAGTTGAAACTGAATCCACGAGAAGGAACAGTGACATCTCCCCCTCCGAACTATGAGCCTAGAAAGCAATTATCGAAATTGGGTAGTTGTCTCAAGCTGTCTACAAGAATCAGCCATCCAGTCACCGAAAACCAGTGCTGGTTAATTTTCTAGCTGTACCTCCTTCCATTAGCATTGAACTTAGTCTTTTCTCCTATATACCAAACATACTACTAACATTACATGGCTACTAATAAATTATACATAAATCTTAACAAAACAGTGGTAAACTAATCCTACTGACATAAGGACATCAAGCATTAGTACTTTTTTCTTTCAAATAATAGAAGCAATGCTTACTACATGAATTCAAATAATTGAAACAATTGTTAAATGACTAAATAAGAAATTTTCTATAAGTTCCTCTGAGATAAAGAAAGAGGTCATCAGGGGAAAGGCGTAGTCATTATTAATCTGGCAACTATCGATAAATTAGTGAATACATTTTCATTTGTCCTGTAATGAAATTTCTTCTTCAGTTTCACGAGACAGAAAGCCTAAGGAACAGAGCATTTTAATTTTCCATTTATTTGTAAATCAATTAATAATGCTCAAGCAATTATAGCGTATATATTCAACTACACGTTGAAAGCATATACCTGCAACCTCAACAATATTGGAAGTATTAACAAAGTTGCCATCCGGATCTCATATCTGTATTGAGCCAGAGAAACAAAGGATGTTAATTTATCGATTATTCATACATTAATTAATATTGTGCATTATAGTGTATATAACAGGATAGATGTTGAAAATTGAGAATCAAGAAGACGTGTGTACCTTCAGAATACAACAAATTTTAAATATCAACTAATTTTTCATCGTTTATCCATACTTCATCAAGATTTGGTGCACCTAGTTGTTGTCTTGAATACAATTCTGTCATCACTGGGCAATTTTGAATTCGCAAATACTCTAGTGAGGGGAACACAAGTTCATAGTTCTGAGATGAAAGCAATCTGAATCTATCAAGATGAACAAGCATTAGATCTCTCAATTTAGGAAAGACAATTCTGCATGTCATTCCTTCTTCCACAACAATTCTGCCTGTCGTTCCTTCTTCCACGATTTCATTGTTCGAAGTGTCGTCTTCTTCTTGTCTTTCAATAATCCCTTCAATTGCTTCACAATACTCAATCTCAAGAACTTCTAAAGCCACAAGTGAATGGGCCATTGAAGGTGAGAATAAGTACCTTAAGTTGTCACAATATCCAACATCAAGATGTATCAAATTCTGAAAGACATGATTTTCTTTAGGAAACATCCTTGTGAAATGCACAAATTTGGGTAGAAATGCCACAAACAATGAAGTTAATTGACTAAGTATACTAATTTCTGCATCATCTTTTGTATACTGAAAGTCAAACAAAATGTACAAATCACCCAAATTTATCACACTCAATTCTCTTATTTTATGAGATCTGATTTGCCTTAGTTCATCCAATATTTTCACAGTACAACCCAGTCCCATAATGTGCAACCGCTCCAAGTTAGGAAACGTAACCTGCAAGAAATTTACTTAATGGCGTCAGCTAAAATTATGTAATTATAAAACTTCATAAATTTGAATATCACCTTTAGCTTTGTAGAATTAATTAAGACCTTGAGATGAATTAGCATATGTAAATAACAGTGAAAATAACTGTATATTAATAAAAACTTTTGAAACATGAAATACAAAGCCCATTAGAGAATGTAAAGATCTGCCCAAATCTGAACATGTTTTGAACCGTGGGTGCTGAGAACCCATCTTTATTTTTTGGAAATATTCATAGAAAGGAAAAAAAAAAATAAAAAAAAATTGCTGGGCTTGAGCACCAGCCCAGCCCATAATGGTGTTTATATTACATGCTATAGATATAGATCAAGCCCAATGGTGATTATTAAATGTTGTAATAAATATAAATATTTCTCAAAATTGGCAGAAACGGATCCAAACCTTTGCCTTCAAGCATTTTTGGTTCCAAAACTTTTATTTTTGGCACTAAGGTCTCAAATCTATTCTATTAGGACAAACATGTGAAAGGTTTGGGACCAAAAATGCACTGAAGTCCCTATTGAAAGGCATTAATTACTTAAAAATTAGGTTATATAGTTCAATATTTCTGAGTTAAATATAAAGCCTTAAAACAATTAGGAAATTAAAGAAGCATTAATCTGTAGAAAATTGTCTTAAGAATATAGAATATAATGTGATAAATTATCGATTGTGTTACATGTTCATAATGGTTTGCATAATGATTTACATACACATTATTTGGTGAGATGTGATTGGAACATAATTTCTTTAACCAAAAAAAAAAAAAAACAACTTTCTTACTCTCTTTTTGACAAATCATCTGTACGGAAACCATTATGTAACTTCATTATGTACAAGTAATATTATTCATAAATTATACACTAAGAGTTAATGAAAGCATTTGGGAAATATTAGTTTTTATCATTTAAAACTTGTTTGTAAAAATATTTTCAAAGGTTGAACTCCAGGCTTTTATGTTATGAATTAATTAGAAAATGAGAAGTGAAACTTGTAATTTTCTTATATGTAATCGTAATGGTGCTTAGAATTCATAATATACATAAATAATTTTAAAAAAAAAAAAAAAAAAAAAACAACTTTCTTACTCTCTTTTTGACAAATCATCTGTACGGAAACCATTATGTAACTTCATTATGTACAAGTAATATTATTCATAAATTATACACTAAGAGTTAATGAAAGCATTTGGGAAATATTAGTTTTTATCATTTAAAACTTGTTTGTAAAAATATTTTCAAAGGTTGAACTCCAGGCTTTTATGTTATGAATTAATTAGAAAATGAGAAGTGAAACTTGTAATTTTCTTATATGTAATCGTAATGGTGCTTAGAATTCATAATATACATATATTTTAAATCAAATGAGGCTGCATGCACACACACTAAAGAAAAAAATATTTACCTGTTTGAACAGTGGATTGAGCACACCAATGGTCTTGTTAAATCCACATCTAAAGCTCTTAAGATTTCTTAAACTCTTAAGCTTTATTTTCTGTAGTTTTGGAAACACAAGCATCTGGGTAGCTTCACATTGTTCTGTGTCCATTGAAACGATTTCCTCTAACGTCTCACAGTTAGAAATACTTAAATGTTGAAGATTTACCAAGCATAATGCAATTGACTCCAAAAATAGGCTTCTAACTAAGGGGCAATTTTTAATCTTAAGAATCTTAAGATTGTGGAACTTTGGAGGTTTGGTGACACCCTTCCATAAATATTTCATCCTTGGTATCCCATATAGATGTATCTCTTGTAATCCATCAAAGGCCCCTGTTTGATGATTTCCATTCAGATACTCGAAGCCATCTTCATCTAACATATTATTCCTCTCCATCA